CATCAAAAAAGACAGCTAAAACAGTCTCCTTGTTCACCTGAGCCATCCTGACCTCTGCTTCTAAGCAGAGCACTGGATCCATAGTTCCCCTACCCTTCCTGAACCCACTCTGATGTGACGTTACTAGCCCTCTGCTCTCCAGGAAGTAAGTTAGCCTCTCCGTAATCATATGTTCCATAATCTTACATACATGTGATGTTAAAGCTATTGGCCGATAGCTTGTTGGCCTCGTTGGATCCTTCCCGGGCTTCCGGATTGGTACCACTACTGCCTCCTTCCAACTGCCTGGTAGAGTCCCCTCCTCCCACACTCTGTTGTACAACACCAATACCTTATCCAGTGCCTCATCACTAAGATGGGCCAACATAACATAGCACACCTCATCTTACCCAGGTGAAGTTAACCCAGCCTTACCTATTGCTTTTTTCACCTCTGCCATGGTAAATGGCACATTCAATGCATCATTTACATCCTCCCTCCTATCCAGCACTCCAGGATGCTCCTCTCTCGTGTTCTCTCTCCCCCTCTGCCCCTCCTCTGACAGATTTGCGGAGCTATGCACTTGGACAAATGCTTTAGCCATCATCTCTGCTTTCTCCTCATTTGTTACGGCCACATCCTCCCTACTCATCAACACTGGATAATCCCACTCTCTTCTGGCAGCAGGTAGCTTAGTGGTTAAGAGCGTTGTGCCAGTAACCAAAAGGTCACTGGTTCTAATCCCTGAGCCGACTAGGTGAAAAATCTGTCGATGTGCCCTTGAGCAAGGCACTTATCCCCTAATTGCTCCTGTAAGTCGCTCTGGATAAGAGCATCTGCAAAATGTAAATGTAATGACCCCACTCATCCTCTTAATCATCCCCCACACTTCTCCCACAGGTGTCTCCCTTCCAATGGTGTCACAGAACCGATGCCAACATGACCTCTTTGCCTAACGTATAGTTCTCCTCACCATGGCCTGGGTGTGTTTATACTGAATCAGATGTTGGAAGTTATGCGTCCTTTTCAGTACTCTAAATGCCCTGTTCCTACTCCGCACCATTGCCGCACATTCCTCCGTCCACCATGGGACTGCTTTCCTCCTCCTCCCTGAACCGCAGCAGCTGCCCCCACTAACGCTGTTCTCACCCAGTTATTCATACTATCCACATCCACCCGAGCCATCACCTGCTTACTCAGCTCCTGAAACTGATCCCACATTGCCCTTCTCTGAAAACGTTGTGAAGCCATGCCCTTTTTCTGAAGAATTGCATTATGTGCCCTAAAAGCATGGAAATAGTGTCCACTGCTTGTATACTTGGCATTTTGGCGAATTTAGCACGACATCCGGGAACTTTTGGCATACTAACTATATCTATACTATAACCAATAAGCATACTACATACTCAATTTACGTCACAAATAGTACGGTTAGTATGAGTATTCGAATGCAGCTCAGGTGTATTTCATCACTGAGATACTGGGTTCAAGCTAACTAAGCTAACATATGAAATTGTTTTAAGATGGTCATACCATGGATCATTTATTTGATTTAGAATTTTAGGACCCCTTTAGGTATAATTTTTTTTTATCTATATTTGATAAAATATTGAATTTGGCCTTTACTACTACAGGCCATAGAAACGCACTGAATGACACATTCATAAATGGAGAAAAAAGACAGTCCAAAAAGATATCATAAGGAATAAGGTTTGAAGTGTCTGTCCTATATCTAGGAGATATAAGAAAGCTCAGGAAATATATATATTTTTTTGTTTGGGGGGGGACATATTTTTTATCCTTATTTTTGTTGGCACAAAACTACCTCCATACTTCCATTCATTTGTATGGGTTACCTGACACTTGTGGGGGTTGAGAGTCTCCCCTTTCCATAGAGTGGTCATAATAGTTTGTAGGCCAAACCGTTCTGACGCTACAGATGTTTTTGTGAGAACCGATTTTCGGGGTATCTCATGGTCTGACAAACATCGCTGTAGCTCGGACACCTTCCACCGCAGATGCGGAAGGCGGATGTGGTGGATTGAGACGCAGCCCATGCAAAAGAAACAGAATATCTCTAGCTTGAACTGACAGATTTTTTGTTGTTGTATTTTGCCCCCTTTTTCTCCCCAATTTTTTTTTGATCTTGTCTCATCACTGCAACTCCCCAACAGGAGAGGCGAAGGTGGAGTCATGCATCTTCCGAAACATGACCCGCCTAACCGCGCTCCTTATCACCGCCAGCTTAACCCGGAAGCCAGCCGCACCAATGTGTCGGAGGAAACACTGTTCAACTGGCGACCGAGGTCAGCCTGCAGGCACCTGGCCCGCCACAAGGAGTCACTTGAGCACAATGATCCAAGTAAAGCACCACCGGCCAAACCATCCCCTAACCTGGACGGCCCTGGGCCAATTGTGCGCTGTCCTATGGGACTCCCAGCCAAGGCCGGTTGTGGCACAGGTCTGTAGTAATGCCTCTAGCACTGCAATGCAGTGCCTTAGACTGCTGCGCCACTCGGGAGGCCCCAAACTGATGGATTTTGATGGGGATTTTTTTATTATGCTACTTAGATTGATGCACCGGTGTGTCAATAGACTCTTACGGATTTTAATACCAATTAACTTTGAATAGGACTGCAGCACTCACTTTTACTCTGCTAAAAATACACTGGTTGTTTTCACATATTCATTACAATTGACTCCACTCAAGCCACCGACCCACCTCTCTCTCTCTCTCTCTCTCGTTACCATGACAACATCACCTGTCATTTCAATATTGACTCTGTAGACACATTTATTACAACTCCAACCCCCTGTCCTGTTTGCAGTTAAAGCTCCCTATTTGAACAAAGAATTAATTTGGAACTATCAGTACCACATGTTCCCAGGCTCCTTTGCTGTGCCACACCTAGACCTGATGGGTGAGTCAAGACAATGGATCCTTCTCAAGTTCTCTTCTATTGAAAACAGGCTTTGTTCACTTTTAAAAAAAGAGTCCTTCATTTACATCATTCTTATCCAGAGCAACTTACAGGAGCAATTAGGGTTAAGTGCCTTGCTCAAGGGCACATTTTTCACCTAGTCAGCTCGGGTATTAGAACCAGCAACCTTCTGGTTACTGGCACAACGCTTTTAACCACTAAGCTACCTGCTGCCCTAAGGTATTGCCAGGTGCATGGAGGAAAAAGAGTATATATCAAAAAGACGAAACTACAACACACTGGTTGGGTAATCTTGAATACTCCAAACAATTTGAATTCAAGATTGATAATAATGTGTGTTTCGTGTTCTTCAGGCTTTGTTCAAAATGGTTTCCAAAAATCCTGCTCTGCTATTTGACTAGGGAAATACTGTTAGTTGATACCCATGCAAAGCAACTTCCCTTAGGTTATGACTAATAGCCAGTCATTTAGATAGTAAATCGCATGAAAAAGACTGGAGAAATACACTGAGTGTACAAAACATGCTCTTTCCATGGCATAGACTGACCAGTTGAATCCAGGTGAATCCCTTATTGATGTCACTTGTTAAATCCACTTTAATCAGTATAGATGAAGGGGAGGAAACAGGTTAAAGAAGGATTTTTAAGCCTTGAGACATGGATTGTTTATGTGTACCATTCAGAGGGTGAATTGGAAGACAAAAGATTGAAGTGCCTTTGAACAGAGTATGGTAGTAGGTGCCAGGCGCACCGGTTTGAGTGTGTCAAGAACTACAACATGCTGGATTTTTCACGCTCAACAGTTTCCTGTGTGTATCAAAAATGGTCCACCACCCAAAGGACATCCACCCATGAATTGAGGCTGTTCTGAGGGCAAAAGGGGGTGCTAATGTTTTTTACACTCAGTGTATGTTGTTTTTCGGACATAGTTTAATATTTACTTGTTAGTTACATGTATCTAATAGAAATAGTGCTAAAATAAGTTTTCATGTTGAATGTGGTGTTGATGAATGAAATGCCATCGAAACATAAAATCAAATGCATTTGAAAAATATTTATTTACATGTACTGTAACTCATACATGTTTTAAAAAAGATGAATACAAATGACAATATTAAAGGGATGCTTTGGTATTTTGGCAATGAGGCCCTTCATCTACTTCTCCAGAGTCAGATGAAATCAAGGATACCATTTTATGTCTCTGTGTATGAAGGAAGTTATAGGTTTCACAAGCCAATAATAACTAGTGTTAGCACAATTAATGGAAGTCTGTGGGTATCTGCTAGCATGCTAGCAGATACTCATAGACTTCCAGTCATTGCGCTAAAGCTAGTTAGCAATTGCGCTAGCACTGGTTAGCAACTTCCTTCAAACCGCACACAGAGACAAGTTCTGACTCCGGGGAGGTAGATAAAGGGCCCAAAGTATCCCTTTAACAACAACATATACAAAATTATTTTACCTTTATTTAACTAGGCAAGTCAGTTAAGAACAAATTCTTATTTTCAATGACGGCCTACACCGGCCAAACCTGGACGACAATGGGCCAATTGTGCGCCGCCCTATGGGACTCCCAATCACGGCCGGTTGCGATACAGCCTGGAATCGAACCAGGGAGTCTGTAGTGACACCTCAAGCACTGAGATGCAGTGCCTTAGACCGCAGCGCCACTCAGGAGCCCATGTACAATGGTAACAAACACAGCTCTGATAAAACAATTAACAAAACACACTGCCAAAAGGTGTAAAGGCACACACACACACACATATTTACACAAACATGCATAAAAAACACACAGCCAAACCAGCCCAGAACAAAGCTGCAGACTGCATGGGGATGGTTTAAAGGAATTCAGTTCCTTCTTTGGGTGTGGTTCTCTTTCAACGGTAACTTACATGGAATCTTTAGTCACCGTGGTTCTTTTCTTCGCTCATCACCATTAAGTATCGTCCTCAAACATTCGGAATACAGAAGCACCATAGTGACCCAGAATACAGAATACATATATACACAGCTGGATCAGACAGTCTCTCATGGCAGACAGACGTCTCTCCCGCCCTCTCTTCTCTCTCTTCCTCACTCAGACAAAGTCCTTTCCAGTGGCCGTTGCTGAGGTCTCGGATGGAGGAGCCTTGTTGTACCTGGCGGTGTAGGAACCCTCATCCTTCTTCGGGCAGTTGCAGCAGAGCAAGCCCCCTCCAATCAGCAGCAGGGCAGCGGACCCCCAGCCCACGTACAGCGCGCCCCCCAGCTCCCTCTTCTGAGCGCTTACCAGGAGTGGGTTGTAGAAGTCCTGGATGACGCTGTGGGCCGTCCAGCAGACAGGGATCAGGCACAGAACCCCGGCAATGATGAACACTACCCCGGATGCCACACCCACTTTAGCCTTGGATGCCTCGTTGTCCACACAGTTGGTGCACTTGCCCCCGGCTATGGCCAGCAGGATGGCGATAATGCCGGCGAGGATGGCAATGATGGTGAGAGCTCTGGCGGCCTGCAGGTCGGAGCTCAAGGCCAGCATGGAGTCGTAGACCTTACACTGCATCTGGCCCGTGCTCTGGACCACGCAGCTCATCCAGATACCCTCCCAGGAGGTCTGCGAGGTGACTATATTGCTGCCGATGAAGGCGGTGACCCTCCACATGGGCATGGCACAAACAATGATGGTCCCAATCCAGCCTATGATCCCCAGGGCCGTGCCCAGCATCTGTAGCCCAGCCGACACCATCTTAGATCCGGTTGGCGTTGCTTTCTCTGTTTGTCTGTGGGTCTGAGTGAAACTGGACAGCCTTTTGTCTTCCTTTGTGTCTCCTGTCTTTCTGTGTGATGTAGAGGTTCTTTCTCTTCTCTCAGTGTAATCTGAATACAGTGGGTGGTTGTGTTTCTGTGTGTGCTGCTCTAGGTCTGAGTCCCAAGTGGGGGAGGACTACCAGTAGAACAGGTAGGGAGGGAGGGAGGGAGGGAGGGAGGGGAGGGGAGGGGAGGGGAGGGGAGGGGAGGGGAGGGGCCGGGCTTGAAATCAGGTCTCTCTATCTCTCACTCTTTCACTCTCCCTATCTCTCTTAAAGGTCTTTACTTAGAGGTCCCACGGTTGGGTCTAAAATTCAGTAGTTGACACTTTGGTCTGGGTCGGGTCCTGATTGATTGTCATCGGGTCTCGGGTCTATGTAACTACAGCGGATAGACCCCAGTAGACCCCAATGGACCTGCTCTGCAAAGCTTATAACATATTTATTTTAATAAGGTAAATGTATTGACTCATAGAAGGCCTAGCCAACATATGAATACGTATTTGTTAACTAGAAGAGCAACTTGACTGATAAACATGATTTTTTGTCACTCGTGTTCAATAGGGTCTGTTATGGTATGGGTCGGGTCCAATGATGTATATAAACCCTGGATTGCTGATGCTATGTATTGGCCATTGAGAGGCTTTGAAGCCGCCGGTCGGCCATATTGGCACTCCCCAGTAGAACAGTCCTCCGTAGGAATTAATGGAATTCTACAGTATCAAGTTCATCTAGTGTATATATAAATAATTTGTCGGGTCTAGGTCGGGTTGTCCTCAGGTCCATTCGGGTTCGGGTATGATTGTTCTCGATCCCGTTCAGGTCTGGGTCCCCATTGGCAGGGGGTACTGGAGGCTGAGAGCATGGCATGGTATACAGTGCTTCATTTATCAAATGATTCCCACCAATTCGTGATAGAAAAAAACGATATACCTCCGGTAATATCCCGTGTAGCCAGGGTTGTGGGTTTGATTCCCACGGGGGGCCAGTATGAAAAAATGATATATGCACTAACTGTAAGTCGCTCTGGATAAGAGCGTCTGGTAAATGTATAATATATCTTGCTTATTTTTTTACTATTTCTTAATGTTGGTGCATTGTCGAGAAGGAACCTGCAAGTAAGCATTTCGTTTCGATGTGCTTATACCATGTGTATCCCGTACATACGACTAATAAAACTTGAAACTTCAATGGTTTGGGTTAGATACACACGTTTTCAGTAAAGTAACGGTGAAACCATGACGCTCACGAAGCTGTGCTCAGTTTTTCTCTATGGCATACTTCTTAGCGTGTATGGTGATGCATCAATATGCAAACTATCAGACGTACAGCCTGAAATGTCTCAATTCTCTGACCATCAAAAAGTTCAGGGCTGGACCAAAAACATTCGGGGCTGTAGCCTCGGAAGCCCAGGTCTAATGGCGCCTATGGGTAACACTACACTCCCTCTCCCTCTTCCTTTTCTCTCTACCTCTCCCTTCCCCCTCTCTTGTTTTAGTTCAGTGACGGGAGGGGGAGGGGGAGGAGGGGAGGGGGAGGGAGGAGGGGAGGGGGAGGGGTTGTCACCAAACGACAGTTAGTGAGTCATTCTTCTCCAAATACTAGTCCCTCTGACAAACACCTAATATGGTCACGTACCCTTTACATTGACATTTTGGGAGGTGTGTGTTTCTGTGTGCGTCACTTTACATGTCACGGTTTTAGAATTGTAATCACAATGCTGTATTGCAGGTACTCGGTAGGAATGTGGCTTCACAAATTAAAACATTTGTCAGACAACAGATTGAGGCAATCAGTGACTGTGTATGCGAGAGAGTGTGTGTGTTCATAAATGGAGGGTCTTAGTGGAACCTAGGGACAATTAAAAACAGTTTGCTCTAAAGGGGCTGTGTGTTGAGTACATACATGGAATTAACCGTGGTGTGGTATGCTTGTATGTAAAATGCATATCAAAATATAACTGAGCAAAAATATAGATGCAACATGCAACAATTTCAATGATTTTACTGAGTTACAGTTCAAAGAAGGAAATCAGTCAATTCTAATAAATAAATGAAGCCCTAATCTATGGATTTTACATGACAGCCAATCAGAATGAGTTTTTCCCCACAAAAGGGCTTTATATAGACAGAAATAGTTTAATCAGCTGTCCGGGTGACTGGTCTCAGACAATCCCCCAGGTGAAGAAGCCGGATGTGGTGTAGAGGTCCTGGGCTGGCGTGAGAAACAAGATTCTCTCTGGCCTGAATGCCAAGCGTCACATCTGGAGGAAACCTGGCACCATCCCTACGTTGAAACATGGTCATGGCAGCATCATGCTGTGGGAATTTTCTTCAGAGCGCTCAGGACCTCAGACTGGGGGCTAAGGTTCACCTTCCAACAGGACAACGACCCTGTGTGTGGCCAGCTGCTTTTCACTATCGAGCTCTATCTTTGTTTTGCATCTTTTGTTCCGGCTCGTGACAAACTCCCATTTAGTTTTCGCGCGACAGCGTGGTATCGAGAATCCTCACGACCAAGTGAAAAATCTTGTAGTGTGTGACACCCCGTCTGTGAATAGGCCTCTTGTGGTGACCGCCACACTGGCAATCAAGAGTCATGACCACAGTAATCTCCTCTTATGCACTCTGGACATGCTTTGGTAGTACCCAACTTGCTAACGACCATCAGGTCCTAATGGCCTGGTACTCAGGGCTGTATTGTCCCTCTAACCACTCTGACATCAATGCAAATGCAATCGAAAATCATAACAAACACTTATCATCAAAACAGAAGGCCTATCATACTTTTAAAACTCACCTCACTGTGATGATCAGTTTGAAGAAAGAAGTTCAACAGCAGGTTGAAACCACAGGAGACTGCTGGACGGCTCATAATAATGGCCGGAACGGCGCAAATGGAATGGCATCAAACACCTGGAAACCATGTTTTTGATGTATTTGATACCATTCCACTAATTCCGCTCCAGCCATTGCCACGAGCCTGTTCTCCCCAATTAAGTTGCCACCAACCTCCTGGGGTTGAAACAGTGTAAAACATGGTTGTTGTGGATGTTGTTTCAAAGCCTAACATAACGAAATGGACAGCGCTTTCTAAGGTGATGATTAATTAAAAACACCTATATGCATATTAGAGTTTATGTATATGCATAGGTGTATGAGCCCAAGCCTGAAAAAAAAAACTGAATTAAAATAATGATTGTGCCCTTATACAATACATAGTCTGCCTCATATTACGCATTTAATATGTCTTTGGTACATAATTGGTCTAGCCTATACTCCAAAATTAAACACATTTTAGTAATCGCCTTTGAGTGTGGACTGGATTAGTATGCATACTGGATGGACTGGTTACCTTATGCTACGCTCAAACATGTCTATCCATGAGTCTGGGAGAAAATCTATAGCCCTAGGCGATGCTGTTGGTTCATTGATTGTGTAGGGTGGCTTACAGTTAGCCTACAATTAGAGAATTTGTATTTGACTTTGAATAGCCTAGTAATAGGGAATTGCTTATATTTTCATAATTACACTGAACAAAAATGTAAACGCAACATGTAAGGTGTTGGTCCCAATTTTAATGAGCTGAAATAAAAGATCCCAGAAATGTTCCATACTCACAAAAAGCTTATTTCTCTCTAATGTTGTGCACACATTTGTTTACATCCCTGTTAGTGAGCATTTCTCCTTTGCCAAGATAATCCATCCACCTGACAGGTGTGGCATATGAAGAAGCTGATTAAACAGCATGATCATTACACAGGTGCACCTTGTGCTGGTGACAATAAATGGCCACTCTAAAATGTGCAGTTTTGTCACAAAACACAATGCCACAGATGTCTCAAGTTTTGAGGGAGCACGCAATTGGCATGCTGACTGCAGGAATGTCCACCAGAGCTGTTTGCCAGATAATTTAATGTTAATTTCTCTACCATAAGCCTCATCTCCAATGTCGTTTTAGAGAATTTGGCAGTATGTCCAACTGACCTCACAACCGCAGACCACTTGTAACCACACCAGCCCAGGACTTCCACAGCCAGCCACCCGGACAGCTGATGCAACTGTGGGTTTGTACAATGAAGAATTTCTGCACAAACTGTCAGAAACTCTCTCAGGCAAGCTCATCTGCATGCTCGTCGTCCTCACCAGGGTCTTGACCTGACTGCAGTTCGGCGTCATAACCGAGAGATACCTTGATGAGATCCTGAGGCCCATTGTCATGCCATTCATTTTTTATTTATTTATTTATTTAACCTTTATTTAACCAGGTAAACCAGTTGAGAACAAGTTCTCATTTACAACGGCCAAGATAAAGCAAAGCAGTGCGATAAAAACAACAACACAGAGTTACATATGGGGTAAAACAAAACATAAAGTCAAAAATACAACAGAAAATAGAAAATATATATACAGTGTGTGCAAATATAGCAAGTTATGGAGGTAAGGCAATAAATAGGCCATAGTGCAAAATAATTACAATTAGTATTAACACTGGAATGATAGATGTGCAAGAGATGATGTGCAAATAGAGATACTGGGGTGCAAATGAGCAAAATAAATAACAATATGGGGATGAGGTAGTTGGGTGGGCTAATTTCAGATGGGCTGTGTACAGGTGCTCTGACAACTGATGCTTAAAGTTAGTGAGGGAGATAAGAGTCTCCAGCTTCAGAGATGTTTGCAGTTCGTTCCAGTCATTGGCAGCAGAGAACTGGAAGGTATGGCGACCAAAGGAGGTGTTGGCTTTGGGGATGACCAGTGAGATATATCTGCTGGGTATCCGCCACCATCACCTTATGTTTCAGCATGATAATGCACAGCCCATGTCACAAGCATCTGTACACAATTCCTGGAAGCTGAAAATGTCCCAGTTCTTCCATGTCCTGCATACTCACCAGACATGTCACCCATTGAACATGTTTGAGATGCTCTGGATCGAC